AGTATGTGCATTTTTTAAAAATCAGAGTATCTTTGAGCAGCAGTGTTTTTAAAATCCTCTAATAATGTCTTTGTTAGCAAAAAGGGTTAAAGTGTTATGTTTTTTATAAAAGCAGAAAGTGTAAATGAACATGCAAGAGTGGTCTTAAAATAAAAACATTCCCCCATTTTTAAATAGTTTGTATTCTCATATTACTATAAATTACCTACAAATGCATTATGCAGAAAATGTCAGAAAAGTTAAATATTTGGTCTACTGGAAAATTCTGCTAGGAAGTAAAAGAAAAGAATAAATTTTTGATGCCTTTAATAACCGTGTTTATCCTGATGGCAATTTGTACACAGCATTTTTTAAAAGAATATCTTGCCCATAGAGGCCAAATACTCAAGTAGTGCTTGGCTGACATCTGCTAAGTTTTTTGCCTTGTAAAAAAATTGTTTATTTGTGTAAGGAGTGTAAGGAGAGAAACAAGATTTAATCAGAGGAGTGTATATTTGGGGAGTATGGTGGATGATGTGCTTCCTATTGAACATAGACGGCGGGCCGTTGTTTTAATGTTTCATCTGCTAACTGTATATCTCCAAATTGAGCTGTTATGTGGTCCTTGGAGTTCCTGCCCCACACAGCATTCTGTTATTCACTCTCAAACATGATTTAGGGGTGGAAGGTTGACCTGTGCACAGTATGCTGTTTTTCTGATGATGTTTTCATATGTAATCTACTTTTGATGCCAATTTTTCTGGTCCAAAAAGCCCCCCCCCCAAAACAAAACAGAAGACAACTTGATCATGCAGATTTTCTCGTTTAACTCACGAGCCACCCATCTAAAACATTTTTAGAGATTTTGGAATATAGTCAGAAATGTGTTGTTGAGTTGAATTAAGCTTTCTGCAGTGTCTGGTGTTGTCAGAAAGGGATCTTGCTCAGTCCCAATTTTGACAACATTGGCCATTGATCAAAGATGTCTGCCCGGAGCATGGCTTATCATTAAGGTCTAAATCACCAGCTTAAAAATTTTTCAAACCATCTCCTGCAGGCTGTCTCTGAAACTGCATTATAACCAAAAACTACCAGTAAAATTTGACAGGTCCTGTAGCATTTCTTGTTGGAATTTATACAAAATAATAATAATGAACTTAAGTTATGTTAATATGATAGCTTTTCACTTGATGCATTTGTTTCAGTTAATTTAGAATAAAAGATGTTTTCAAATGCAGTGATAATCCGTTTTGCCGGTGGGTGTAAATCTCGCTAAACAGACTTTATTGGCGACAACACAGAGTATATACATAAAAATTTTTAACAAATGTTAGTTCTAAAAAATTTTTATTTTGAAGGCATAAACATTTTGATATCATTTAAAATGTTGGAAAAATACAATAATTAAAGACCGTTTTCATTGTACAACATCCTGCTTTGCTGTTTCATATCTTGTGACCCCAAGTGATCTCATCTCATGTAAACTACGCTACAAAAATCTTAATTCTCTCAGTAATTACATTAATTTCAAATTAAATCTTAATTTGGAATACATGTTTAAATGCAAGAATTATTTCAATTCATACAAATAGCTTACTCAGAAATTATGTAAAAACTGTGCTTTACTTCGCTAGTGCATTCTCATTGGAATTTATAAATTTAACCTTTGACTTTTCTATATTTTTGCCTTCGGGCGAGTGGTTTGACTGCATCCTTATTGACTTAATTATCGCGAATGGCCTTAGGGCATAAAGTTGAACTATCTAGTAAAAATTATATGTAATTTTATGCCAGTATTGAAAGAAACTATCTGATAAGAAATGGCTGCGACTTGTTTTGAAATTGAGGTGAAAAAGGTTACCAGTGAGGATATTCCGTGTGGCATCGATTGTACCATTTCTGGCGACTATCGCTTGCGCCGGCAAAATGGAAAAGTACCAGATATTTTTGTAGTATCGATATTTTGTGTGATGTTTCATAGAATGCCTTGAGAATGCAAAGCTTAGCCAGAAAATAAGATTTCAGGGACATGTTCATTTAACATGGAGGTAAATTGGCAAGCTGGCATTGGTTTTGTAGTTAATTGCCAGAAGTTACTAGATTTGGTGACATTTTGGTCTGGTACCTGTTTTAACTGTAGTTGTAACCACATAGCCCAAATGCCTTCCACTAATTTAGAGAATGGAAGGTACTATAAATCTCCCAGCAGCCAGGGAAAACTAGAGCATCAATTTCCGTTTTTAGTTCGGAGTACTGGGAGATCCCTTTAAGAGCTTCACTTAGTTAGATGTGCTATGCATTGTGATTGTGTTTAACATTCTTAGTAGTTTGAAGTGGTAACTACCGATTCTGCTCTGTCATACTAAGAAGGGCTGTGTGGGTACTTTCATGGAAAGTTTCAGAATTTGTAATTTGTTTCTTTTGGGAAAATAAATTTTATCAAGCTATGATCGGTTCTATGTGTATTCAGTCCATTATGAACCCATGTGCACATAACAGTTTGGCATTTAGACATTATATTATTCTGTACCAATAAATACCAAATTAAAATTAGGAGCATTATTTATTTTTGTCATTTCATGTTCTTTTTCCTTTCATTTCATTCATATGGGGTAAATTTGTTTATTTCATTATTGCATTTAATTTTAAGAAAATATTTCTGATAAAGTTCTAGTGTACATTTGTTCCATTTATCTAATGAAATAAAATATTGAATAAGATAGCATATCATCTGATTATTTGCAACATTATCCTTATACTTCCTTTTGCCCAGAAATTAATTACCGAGTCGATTGAACAATGAATACTAGTAATTTAAATCCCCATACTGCTTACATTGGACACTTTTCTCAAATAGGGATGACAGAAATTATGACTACAAATTCTTATTTAATTTGCCTCCAGACAGGCAGCAAACTCTGTACCATTCGTTATTATAGTACTGTAATACTTTATGAATTTTTACATATTTATTAAATTTCTAAGAAACTAGCAAAAATCACAACTTGGTGGTTTATTTCTGAAATTTTCTACAGAACTTGTTAATAAAAATTGCAAATTGGTTGTGTAAGAGTGTATGAATTTTTATGTATGTAGAATACATACATACTTTTTCTTTAAAACTGCTGCAGCATGTTTTCATGTCATATATATACGTAGCATAAACATAAATCGGCTCTCTCTCATAAAGTCCTGCAACCCTACTTATAGCTGAGCAGTTAGAGTACTAATATAATAGATAAATAATTAAAATGTAGTTCATCTAGGTTTGAACTCAATTGAAATGGGAAGGCTGCATGGGTGACTTTTGTTTTCCCCATGACTACAAGCCATTTTCCCTCGGAAAGTCTTCCATGGAGGCATTCCTCTCCTTGTGCTTTGTCGCCCACCAGCGGTAAAGTCGCTGAACACTGGTAGTTCGGTGCGAGCTTCGAATCCCGCGAACGGGCTGGCTGCATGGGTGTGTTTACATGGTTTTCCCCATGTGTAACGTGTATACGAGCCAGTTTCCCTTAGAAAGTCCTCCACGAAGGCAACCCTCTCCTTAGGCAGATAGCCCTAGTGTGCTTTGCCATAATTAAATACATCTTGTGCTTTGTCATATTCTAATAACTAGCTAATCATAAAGTCTTGCATTAAGCATCCCTTCCCAATAGCACATAATTCTGATGTGCTTTATTTTTGTGAAATAATTCAGTCTAAAATACACTGTGGGTCATTTTAATTGCTACATTATGAAGGTGGCATGCCTCAAATATCAAATTTGCATTAAAAATGCTCCAGCACGCATGCTCAAAGCATGTAGGAAAATGCAGAGCAGATGTATGGTTTGGGAATGGCATTTGAACTTTGGTTGTTTACATAAATTTGTGTTATGCATTGTGTAAGAAGAAATTCCGACAGCGTCATGCATTCGAATTCAACCACAGCCTACCAGGAGTTTAATTTATCATTTCGCAACATACCTACTTATTGTTAGTCTTGATTCCATGACTGTCGGTGTGATGGGGAATTGGTGGGTCTAAAAGGATCATGCTGGACATCAGCAGCCCTGGGTTATTAGCATCCAAGAGGAGATGGACATGTCCTTTTAACCCTGTGAGGTTGCACAACTCTGTCATGTACCCTTGGCCAGTAAATTTTCTTGTATGTACGATAACAAGTGTCTACACAGATAGTGTGACAGACAGTAGCATTACCGACTATTAGCTTTGCAGTCATTGCCTCGGCTACCCTTGACAGGGTAACAGAAACAAGACGTGCGTACTGTTGTGCTATGAAAAGACTGGACGGAGGCGTGGGACTACAGTGTTATTTGCGGCAAATTCCAGTTTTGTGTACAGCATCATGATGTATGTATCCATGCATGGAGGCACTGAGGAGAATGAATGTTGACAGCTTGCATTCGTTATCACCATGTAGATATGGCATACTGGTATAGGGTGACATTGAATGCATATTTTGGTCATTTTTTGTTCATATAGTTGGTAATGTGGACAGCTGTTAATGTGGGGTTATCATGTCTGACAACTTGGGAGTCTAAGAGAAACTTTTCTGAGAAATAAGCTTCTTTTTTTTTCTACCATTGGAGGGTTCTAGCTGAAACATCTTGCCAGATCCTTCATCTGATTTTATACCGGTTTTACATTTCTGATGTGTTGAGGCCTTTGAGAAGTCGCATGGAATGGTGAAGCATCTATATCTGTCATTTAAGTTCAGGTTGACCCACTGCCCAGCCAGCTTACAACTTTTGCTGCTGCCAGAGGTATAACAAATTCAGTATTGAATTCTGCACATGGTGTACTCCAAACCACCTTCAAATTTAAGTATGTCTTACTCTCATTATACCAAATATGTATAATAAATAAGATTCTGCTATTTCCTTGCCTGAAGTAGCAGTTTTAATGGCCACCAGTTAGCTTGAGTAAACCTTTAATTAGGTGAAATGTAATCAATCATGTCGAATGAAATCAACAACTTTTGATTGTAAAACTTTTTTTTTTTTTTTTTAACTTTTATAGAAGCGATGGTCAGATCGGAGGTTATGGGACACATACCAGCCATTGCATTATTTTGTAAAGACCACTGTGCTGGCCTTAAAACAGTCATACGTCAGCAGTTAGTGCCTTACACAGTCAAACTTTTAACTGATGACCAGCTGCAGGTATATAGATCTATATGAAAAGTTATCTTACTAGCAAATCTTCAAAGTGCACAAGTAACTTCATGAGTTTAAAAAAAATTTTGAATTTTTTTCTCCTTTTAGGTTAGAGTAGTTGGTCAGTCATCTCTACTTGTTTTATTAGAAAATAACTTGATTGACAATTGTAAGTTTAATTTTTTCCCTTTTCTTTGATAGTAAGTACTATATGCGTATTTTTAATTTAATGGTTTTGCATTGCAGCTCAGCTATCAGAGTGGATTTGTCCATTGATTTCACAATTGGCAACTTCAGAAAGTAACAATGAAGAACTAAGAGTTGAAGATGTTACAGTAAGTATTTTCTGTTTGCAGCATGCTATTATTTTTCTAGCCGGCATCAAGAAAACGAGGATTATACATATGACTGTTCCTTGAAAGACATGGGTAGTGAGATGTCTTGTATTCCCATCTCACTACCTTGTCTTTGACGGAAAAGCTTTAGAACTCTTCAGTGTATGGGGCAGTTGTGGATCGATACAACTCCTTAGTGCTTATTAGGTGCCATCAAATGGGCTGTGAAATGTCTAATATTTATACAGCATATCACAGCCACATTTGATGAGCATCTTTTTAAGGCTTATCATCGTATTTTATGGTGTGCTGATTCAAGTGAGTTAAATATTTTTGTGAAATTCTTTGATAAAATTTGGATGTGTTAGTTATCTTATTTTGCATGTTTCAGTTACATTGATCTTTTTATTTAACTTATTTGAGTAACAGCATTTTGAAAAAGGTCATATAAAGCAGTTATATTTTAATTTAGTGTTATAGTAGGTCACATAATGTAAAATTTAAGCACTATAGATATGTATGGTTATGCTTTATGTTTAAATAATATATTTTTCCATACTATTGCAAAATATTCCAACTAAGCAACATAGTTTTTGATATTTTTCTGTATAAACGTAAATTGTTAATTATTATATTTCGTAATGTCAAGTTTTCAGATTTGAAAGTAGGGTATGTTTGTTCTCATTTATATTTTTAAAATTTATTGAAGTTTTAAATTTAATAAATGTGTTCTTTATGTTATTTAGAGGTATTAAAATTTCTGTGAAAGTTTAAACCTTATTAGATAAGATGTAAAGCATAGAACAAATGTTAACCCACTGGATATTATTTTTCTTCGTGCATGAAAAGGTTAACTTTTTGAGTATCAAAATATATTTGCTGTATTTGGTATATAAAAGGTTTTCTGTGGAGTATCTGTATTGTTGAGCTTTTAAATATTTAGACTTTCATGATTTTACCTTTTAGGTGATTTATGTATTTATAAAGCAATTTTTGCAATTAATTATTCAAGTATGAAATTTGAAGCTCCTTTAGCATTGTAAATAGTGTGAAAAATATAAAAATAATGGTTTACATAGACGTTTTCGGGAAAGCCTATTTAAAAAACAGCTACTTACCACCTTTTTAAAGGTTATTGTATGGGGAGAAAGCTGAAAATCTTCATAATCCATGTTTATAAGTGCCTCATATTCCTGATTTCCTCCCAAGTTTAACAGCTGCTTTAGACAGATTAAATAGCAATTTGCATTAACTGTAATAATTTAGAATGTATGTTTGTTACTATATTATTAGTTATTCATTTCTAGAGTAGTAATTTCCTTTTGCTGCTATTTATTGCATATTCTATATATCTTTTTATATGAAAAGTTTTAAAATATTGCTATATTTTCAGGGAAAACTAACATTTTTATTTATTCTTAAAAATGTAATTTTGTATTTACACATGTAACTTAAAAGCTGCTAATTTTTATGTTAGTAATTTGTCGCACTGTATATTGTACATATCATTTCATGCAGCTGTACTATTCTTGTGTATATGGACTTTTCCTTTAGCTCCTAGATTCAGAGTGGCAATTGAAATAAATGGCTAATCCAGACTCACAAGGTGGTTGTTATATGCTGTAATTTGGTCATATCACAGCTGCTTTGATGAGTGCGGATTATCCACATATCATCAAGAAATAAGTCTGTGTTTCTGCTCGTCAGAGTGGCTGTGATGTGTGTATTAGCTATTCATATCACAGCCAGCTTTGATGAGCGGAGCCTCTGACAGTTTCAACTGGAGATTTCTGCATTAAATTTTTTTAAAATAGATTTTAAGGAAGTGTTATGTAAGAGAAACCTGTATATTTCATGTTATTTTCTGTATTTTCTTAAAGGTAATGTGCAAGATGATTCCACATGTAGGGAGAGAAATAACTGTAAAAATGTTTCTGGAACCTTTTGTGTCACTCTGTTGCAGTTCTACATTCACATTTCGAAAGGTACGAACAATTGTGTTTTCTGCGTACTTGCAAAAAAGTGCTTTTGAAATTATTTTTGTTTTTAAAAAGACAATAATTTTTTTTAGGTGTGTGCTTTAAATTTTGGCCAGATAAGCAAAGTTGTTGGAACTGAACTCACAGAGTTAAATTTGGTAATAAGATTTTGCTCCTCAACATTATTGTATCATAGCGTTTGAATAGGAAAACATGTAAAACTGTCCTTTTATACCTCTTTTAGCTTCCCTCCTTTCTTAATCTCGCTAACGATGAAGTCTGGGGCGTTCGGAAAGCATGTGCTGATGTCTTCGTTGACGTAGCAAGTGTGATTAATATACAAACAAGAAAAGAAGTACTTTCACACATATTTATTAATCTTTTGAGTGACAATTCTAGATTTGTAAGTACCTGAAGTAAGTTATTTACACGCTTATAGAAATAGTAAAAATGAATAATTTTTAATGTTGTGATAACATGAGCACATTATTATTTAAGAAAAAATTATGTATGGGTTGGAAAATTATGCTTGTATGGGTTGATCTGACCCATTTATAGAATTTCTTACATGCTATCTTTTGGATTTTAATTCCTGAATATATATGTTGTAGAATTCCTCTAAATGTTGCTTGTCTTCATTTCTAATAATTCAGTTCTGAAAATGTTGTTTCTATATTCCAGACTGATCACATTTTACTTTTAAGGGTTTGGTTGATCTGTATCTCTAACATGTATGGAAATGCATAAAAAACTTTTCTTCTGATTATAATAACGGTGAGAATGTTCCTATAAATTATATAGTATAGTACATAGTTCATTATCCTGCAAAAAAAAAAAAAAAAAAAAAAAAAAAATAATTCCTACCATTTTTCTTCTCCAAAGGAAAACTTTTTGTGTCTTATCTTGGCATCAGCTCTGAAGACCTATTTGCAGGGTTGCACATTACCTGGAGAACCGGAAAAAGTCGGAGAATTTGAAAACTGACCCAAAAAATTCGGGAATTGAAATATTTTATTAAAAAATGTGGAAAAATTTGGGAGTGTCATATGGCGATCCCCCCAAAAAAGCAATTTTTTTTTTTTGCCAACTTTGAAAATGATTACTTTGTTAGCCAATTATGTATTGCATGAGTATCATTCAGGCAGCTGGAATAGAACCAATTTGCAGCTTCAGTCAGATTGTCTTTTAGAAAGGCAAAGCAAGTTTCCCATAACCTCAAGAATCAAGAGACTGGCATACGCAGTGCATGTTGAATGGAAGAAAATACCTTCCCATTCTCATATAAAACAAAATAGTTACTAACTTTAGTTTTGAGTAACCTCGAGAATAGAGAGACTCGCATGTGCTGTGCATGTTGAACGAAAGAAAATACCTTTTCGTTTTCATATAAAACAAAATCGGTTTAATCCTAGTAATGGTTCACATGGTATTTGGCTGCAGTGCATGTTGAACGAAAGAAAATACCTTCCCGTTCTTATATAAAACAAAATCGGTTTAATCCTAGTAACGGTATACACTGGATTTTGCACCATTATGATGAGCAGTAAACGGGTGAATTTGGTCTTGGCAACAGTTTTTCAAAATCATGCCAAGGCTGCAGTGTATACTGGGATTTTACCACAAAATCTTTTATACCCTTTTTTCCTTTTATAAATGCTTTGTTTGTCATTTTGCAGTGAAATAAAAAAATAGTTAGTCATCTAGGCGAACCATTTAATGTAACTATTTGCCAAAAATTCATTATTGTTATTCAGTTTTTAAGGAATATATTTAATCACATTTTTCATATCATTTAATGTTGCTTCTTTCCTCTAAAATTATTAGTTAATAAACATTCAAATGTCAGTCAATTTTCTCTGGCATAATCCTGAAACTAATTCTAGCAGTATGATGATATACTATCACAAAATTTAATGCACATATTTTTTGCTTATGTATGCTGCTAAATAAATGTGAAATACCTGAATTTATTTTAAAATATTAAATAAATTGCTTTCGTTTAGCTGCAGAAAGGGACTTTTTTTAATCCACATTAGACAGGTTCTAATCTCAATATTTAGTGGAGAAAACAACTACTATAGTTATAATAGTTATTCTTTGGGGAATCATGCAATTGGCAAATTTTTATCTTTTCAAGGAGTACCATAATTAATTTACTTTTAACACAGCCAACACGTACCACGCGGATAGACTGGAATTTTCTTAAAACACACACATAGAAAAGTCATTCTCCTGTTTGAGTGGCAACCCTGTATTTAGAAGTTGTATTCAGATCAATTTTAACTGTGTTCTTGTCACTCTTAGGGATGCAGAATAACGAAACCTTGCCAAGAACCATAAAACACAAAGGCTGGTGCATCAGAGCAGATATTTTTCACTTTTACCCCCACTTCTTGACCTCTATGTCTTCGACATAACTGGAAGATAGGCTTTGTCACTGGAAATCAGTTTTAGTGGAATTAAAACCAGAAGACTTATTTTTTTAATGTATTACCCACATGAAAAACACTGGATTGCACCATGAAACTTTATAGTTAGTGTTGATATATCAAGTTAAAAGGGAAAGTGTAAATATTGTAAAGAAATTATTTTCATAGCTTCCAACTTTCCCAGTTTTTCGTCACGTCTCCCAATGGACTGCCGAATCTCATAATTTGACTTTTATTTTTTCTAAGAAAAATATTTCTCAGCAATAAATAAAATTTATTGAGTGTATAAAACTTAAATTAGATAAATTCCATTCTCCCCACCTGTAAATGATTTTTGGAATAATCTATATTAAATTTTATTTGATCAGAGGTTTCATGCTGTAGACATTTCTACAGTTTTAATCAATTAATATTTGTTTTAAAATTTATATCAATATGTGGGCATTATTAAGTGTATCCACAAAAATTAATTAAGACTGCGCAAAAAATAGTATGTTGATTAATTATTGATTTATTTTTATCATGTTTAAAAGTAATTTGATAAATAAAAGCCTTTCTTTATTACCCAGGACTTTTTCAACATATAAGTGTTTAAAATTTAGAATATCCAAAATAATGCTAATATTTTTCTGTCGTAATAGAATTACACATAGTTGAATAATCTGAACCATGCTTAATAAAGTGAATTGAAATGTAGTTTGAAAAGCTATGAGTTTTCAAGAAAGAATCTCTTGGTTTTTAAGATGTCAAGGTTGGCAGCTATGTGTTTTATTCCTGTATAATTTATGGGTCAAATTTTTATTTTGTATCATTTTCTATGAAGATAAAAACCTTAAGCCTTGATTTTCTAATTTATATATAAAAATTTCTTAAAGCTTCGATACTTTGAGGAAACAAATTTTCTTAGATGCATCAAGTTAAGAATTATTAAGCACTGTCCTTTTTTAAATGAGTATTATTTCTTATTTAGAATGTATTTTCTAACTAGAATTTTAATTTTTAGGTAAAGAACGCTGCCTACCGATCTTTGGGAGGATTTATTTCTACTTTTGCTGATCCTTTAAAATCAGGCATGAAGTATGAAAATGGTTCTTGCATTCATCTGTGTATGGAAAATGGTACTGGAGAGCATCTTGATAGTTTGGGCGAAAGTGAGAAAGAAAATGAAAATAAAAGCTTAAATAATAGTAATAATAATTCACATCAAGGTGAAGTAAAAACTGATGATTCTGTTACAGAGAAAAGTAATTTGGAGGCTTCAGCGAACAATTGTTTTGACTCTAATGTAATTAATCAAAATAATTCTTCAGAGAAGAGTAAAGAAACTCTGAACAATACCGATGTTAACACTGATACACAAGACACTTGCATCTTAAATAGCAATAGTATTAGAACTGGGAAAGTAGCATGCCATTTTGTCCAGACTGTTCATAATGATTTAGGAAATAAACCAGACAAGGATTCTTACAAAACTGATGAAAAAGAGACGGATGATGTTTTTAGGAACAAAACAAATGAAATGAATTTATCTTCAAGTTTAGAAGAAAAAGACATTAAAAAAATGAACAGCTCATGTGCAGCAGATGCAGTACAAGCTGATATCATTTCTCATCACAGTAATGAAAATGTGTATAATAATTTCCAGTTTTGGAGAATACCCTTACCTGAGATTGAAATAAATTTTGAAATTGAGAGTAAGGTACCTACAAACAGTAACAATCAGTGTTTTGGAATAAATAGAGTATGTCAAAAGAATTTGTACAAAGAATCTATATTCACAGATGGTGTAAATTTTGATTCAAGTAAATCGGTCATAAGGTAAGATAGTGTGCTATTCATGTTAAGAATTTAATGAATATGAGTATTAATTGTATTCAAATTGTGGAATATTTTAAATTTTAGCTATTTATATTCATGTGTGGAATTGCATACATGAAGGATTAAATGATATTTCTCTTGTTATTCCCATGTTCTGACTTCTAAATTGGGCAACATCTTTTGTGCATTTTTTTTTTTTTTTTTTTTTTTTTTTTTTTTTTTTTGAATAGTTTCAAAAATATGTTTGTATGACATTTTTTTATATTATAAAGTTTTTGTTAGGATTCAACAGCATAAAAATGTGAATTTTTTTAAAGTCATAATTTAATATAATTTAATAATTTATCATGTATTTGTTCGATGGGGCATTGGATTAAAAGAGTATTCAAGTTTTAAAATGCATTCTCCCTCTCCCACTCCAGGTTCTCTGCATTGTATTTCAGCAAAAATTATTGTAAACAACCCTCTGCTTTTTTTTTTTTTTCGCTTGCGACAGATTGCAATAAAATCTTTATGCAGCAAATGATGTTTTACACAATATAAATGATTGCATAATAATTTGAGCTATTATTCTTGAAGCTGTGTCATAATGTAAAGAGGTGTAAACACTTATTTAGTCCTTTAACTACTGATTATTAACTATACTGCTCCCAACATTGTTTACATGCTTCTCATTTCTTTCCTCTATTTTAATTCTCAATTTTTCTGTAACTTAATGTTTTGTTATCTGTACCCAAAGATTGTGTGTGTGTGCCCGGGGGGGGTGCTGCTTGAAATTGCTTGGTTTACTTGTAAAAGAGCAAGACTGTTTCCTCATCAAGATTTGCCATTGAAGTCATTAGCGCATTACTGTTGTGTAGGTGATAGTAAAATTGTTTAAAACATTATATATTGATTTCTTCAGAGAGCAGGCCATCACAGCCATTCGGGTATTCACAAGCTTAAAAAATAAAGTAATAATAATAGTAATTTTATCTAAGCCATGAATTGCAGGAAATGCTTCTGAAGTAATAAAATTCTGTTCATTTTCTATGTTGCTTTTATTATACTGCCCATTTCTGTTATTATTTCTGTGCATTTTCCCTTTTGATGTAACTTCCTATTTTCAGACATATTTGATCAAGTGGTTGTGTGATAGAAATTATATTTAACTTATATTAAATTATATTTAATATTTTAACTGGTGTGCCCTTGTATTATAAATAGTATTTTTTCCAAAGATAGTTTTGAGTACTTTTAACTTTCTTGCTTCCTGGGTTGTTGTGATGTATGTTTCCATCCGTATCAGATGTGATACTGGAGCAAAGTGGTATTGATGTTCCACTATACTGGACCACCATAGTATATACTGAATGTTCACTTTAAATTCTTAAAAGCAGATTATACTGCCATGAAACATAATGGAATGTCTTCAATGTTGTTAGGAAAACTTCTATACTCCTTAAGAAAGTGCGATGCTGAAGAATATATTTTTGTTCAGGATTTACGTTATGTTATATTACATTAATAGAAATATTATTAATGTATATATAAATCAGTAATATAATATTTTGTTTTTATTTTAAAGTTTTTTTTGTGAGTCATTATTTCTGTTTGTACATAAAGATTAATTTTAAAAATTCCAGTAACTTAATATAAAAGAGCTCCTAATTAGGTCCTCCACAATTATAAAAAGTGCTTGGGCATACTTTGTTGCAAAAGCCATGGACCCAAGGGGGAAATTCTCTTTGCTCTGGATGGAAATGTTGCTTATGTAAATACAGATGTTGAGTAGAATTTTTCTCCAGTGGTGTAAAATTTGTGCATTAAAAAAAAAAATATTATTATCTAAAGGGTATCAAATTACAAAAAAAAAAGCTTAATATTTATTTATTTACTTTATTAAACATTTCTTTCAATCTAAGTTGTTTAAGTTGCTTCATTTTTTTGTGGCTAATACTTTCTCTTTAATTCTATAAACAGACATAATTTCTTGTTCAGTTACAAAGTTCCACTGCTCAAGTCCTGTAATTGCTGTGTCGAAAATACCGACTAACTTGTCATCGAAATTTTTTCATTTTCAGTAACCTCTCTGTCACTTTCTTCACTATCGAAAGCAGTATTTTCTGGATCTAGAACCATACTACAGATTTCGCTGTCTGTTGATTGATGATTGGGTTATTGTCGTTGCAATGAAAAATTTCTGTTATGTCATCTTCATTCATCTGCAACATTAACTGAAATGTCTTAGAATTGGTAAAGATAATTTTAGTCTAGCTTATACCATCTGTTATACATGAAATGCACATGCATAAACTGTACAAAAAAATGTTTGTGGCTTTGAGGTCCGGATTACAGACTTTGTACTGTATTAAACATTCTAAAACAATTTTCTTTTAATTTACTCATAAGGACATTATTTGAGTATACTTGTAGTATACTCATTTAGCATACTTGTAGCATACTCAAATCTCAACCCCTCAAATACAGAGCCAAGCTTGTTGACCATTACACCATGAAGGCATGCTAAGAAGGAGGGAGAAATACCTTAGACTAAATAACATTTTTATTAGGACAGAGAATTTTGCAAAGCTCTGTTGTCATTTTTAAAACAGATCGGATAAATGAATTAGTAACTTGAATCGCAGAACTACATTAGTGGATTTCAAAATTTATGAATAATTAATTGCCTTAAATTGTTTTTATTGATGATGAAATATGATGTATAAAAAATGCTCATTAGAAGAAATTTAAAGATGGTTGTAATTTTTTTAATAAGTACATTTGTCCTTACAGTTCTAGACAGTCATCTCTGTCGAGGATGAAAGTTGAGGATACTCTTGCTATTTCTAATAACTCACAGAATTCTATAGTAGATTCAGCAGAGCAGAGTTGGATAGCAAGTTCTCTTATCCAGAATTCTGTGGAAGATCTTGATGAACTGTTAAGTAAGTATAATATTATAATTAAAAATAAAATTCTTGTGTTTAATGAGATTTTCAGAACAAACACAGAAGTCTGAATAAAATAGCCATAAAATTCCCAAACAACATGTAGTAGGCAAAATTGTGTTCTCTGTCTGTTGAAAGTATACATTAAACTGCAAAATTGTTAAATCTTTAAAGAAATCTATTCTTTCAGAATTAAACCGAGATGAGAGCCGGGAAATGAAATAAATATATCTATGTATTTGGAAGAATACTCCATTATATAGTATATATATATTTTTGGTGTCCTTTAGAGAAAAGAGATAACTACCGAAATCAAAAATATATATTTTATTGTATTGGATTTCCGAATAACTGTGTCCAGTTTGTTAAATACTTCAGTTGAAAAGGAACTATGAATATGTTTAAAACACTGTATGTAAATAAGATTATTAGGAGGGGGAGCTGGTTCATATTTTAGCTTTTGAAGGATAAGATACTTTTATATTCTAAAAAATAATATTACGATACAAGTAGTATAATTTGAGGATAAGAAGAAGTAAATTTGTCTGGAAGCAGGTAGAGATCCTATTATTGCATTTTCTGTTCTCTGTCCTTGGGCTCTGTAATTTGGCTATGTGAAGCTTTTCACACATAAATATAAGAAAAACTCTGCAGCAAGCTTCTTTTCATGTCAAATGTTTGTTGTACTTCAAAATAATTATTGTATTGTAATTGCTTGTGGTTTGAAATCTCCAAAAAAATGTGTGCATTTTTATAATGACAGTATTTTTATTAAATGATTACTTTTAAAATCTGTCCCAAATTTAATTTTTCTTCAGAATTGCTAAACATCAAGTTGTTTTTTTTATGCTATATAAGTAATATTCATTGGTAATGAATAAAAATACCTTTCTAGTGCCTTCATGTTTGTCAGACTTTATTGAATTCGATTATCAGAGAAGGTAAACTACAGAAATAATATATATGACATTTTCTTGTGAAAATATTTTTGCAGTACATAATTAAAAGTTTTGCTTTAAAGTTTATCAATTTAATGAGATTTGTTTTCATAATTAATTTTTTATTTCAGGGAGGAAACTAACCAAAAAAAGCTCAAAGTCTATTTTAAAAGAAATGACTGTTTATGATCAGGTAAGCAGAAATTGTTAGGTATCTTTTTTATTTTACATGTAGGTTAACCATGTGCTTATTAATATACTAAAAACTTGTGACTTAATGTAGGATTTTTGGAAAAATGACTGTGAGCTTCATTTCCCTAATTGTTGATTCTAGACATATATTTTCAGTAATAATTTTCTAGAACTTCATTAACTGACAGAACAGGCAAATTAAGCATTTGGCTAACAGTCTAGAGATGTGCAGGGCTAGGTGGGACATTTTGAGAAGCGAGATTCTAATGGCATTGGTTTAAACTGGAGGGTTCCCAGAAAAGCCAGCATTGCTGGAAGGTGATGTTCTGTTTAACCAAGCAAACAGCATCCTGGCTACGCAGGACATTTTGAAACTTTGACCAGCATGTTCCATTTGCAGCTGTGTCCCGCATAGAGATCCACCAATCAAGACGAAAGTTCTCCTTCTGGACGATCACAGGTAATTTCCAGTATGGCGAACAGTGTATTTTGACCGTCGATGATAGAGATGAAGCTGATTTTATTAAAAAAAATACAGGAAAAATATATATTCACCAAACACACACTATTCGTGCAAAAAAAAAAAAAAAAAAAAAAAAAAAAAAAAAAAAGTTAATTGAATTTTAAATGAAATTGAAATACAAATAAATGATTAACCACCGCTGCGAACCAATCCACATCATCATTCTGAGAGCACATGCAAATCAAGTGCAAGCATCAAAATCCGTGAAAAAATATATAATTCCGAAAAATTTTTGAATCTGAAAAATTTATAAAAATGCAGGGGAAAAATATATATTTACATGCTGTGTTTTTATAATATCATTTAAGTCATTTTTTAAATGTTTATATACTGATTAAATTCCTAATTGAGGAAATTTTAGAGTAGATAGTTTAAAACATTTTTGTACTTTTGATGATTTGTTTACAAATTTTTCATGGCCAAATTTGTTTCATATTGACTCATAGCATAACCTGTAGAAGTGTTATCATTGTTATATGTTTATGTAATTTGTTTTTATTAGACCTTGAGGTGATTAATTTTTTAAATTCTGTTTATATATGCATGACTTTGCTTTTTTACAAATTACTTATCAATTAAATTGTGTACTGCATCATCAGCGACATACTGTAAACATAAAAGGTGCATAAAAACGAAAATGTAGCTTATGCAATAATAATCATTAAATTTGAATTTAATTTTTGTAACTAATAAAATGCCTTTCAGATTATAAATACAATTATTTTTATTGTAAATACATATTGAAACGTTTGAAATTTATGGATTTATTATTATGCAAGATAAAAAAAACATTTGTATGTACATTCATAAATATAAATCTTATTAATTGCATCAATACTAATAAACTTACATCAGCAACTTTTAACTAAAATAAAAATGTACACTGCCAAAAATTTTTATTCTAATTCATCTAATGGTCATGTAATTGATAGCAACACTACCCATCATTTCTCTTCATATTATCGTGGCTATGGAGTTGAAAAATAATTGAGCATAGACATGAAAGAGTGTACATGTACGTTTTGTTTTTGGGATAATACATAATTCTATATGAATAACAAGAAATTTTAACAGCTGTACATTTATAAAACATTTGATCACTTAGGACACACAGCGCATATCTGATTATCACTTTGATGTCTGTTTGTGCTTTCCACTACTTTTCCGTTATCTTCCATAAATAACAAACAAGTTTTTTAGCCATAAAAGATACAACATCCAAGAATCTTCTTCACCTCTTTTCTGATCACCAAACTTCTCAAAAGAGCTTTGCCATGCAAAAATAATCCCTTTTTTAGCCCTTTTTTAGAAAAATGTTGATACAATTTTCCCAAAAATTTTGTATTTTTAATACTTTTATGATTTAAAATAAATTATAAATAATTGTCAAAAGTCAACATGTGTTAAGAATGAATGCAGAAAATTATTCTGAATTTTAATAATCATGAATTGAATTTTTGTGTTTATACAGAAAATGTTAAAGAAAGAAATTTGATATGAAAGATGCAGAACAATTATAGTTTAAATTAGAAACAGTGTGGTCTTTGAAGCATGGTATCACACAAAAAAGCTGGTTTCAGTTTGAGAAAAAAATAGCATGTTTCTGCAAGATTTTTTTAACGAAGTCCTAAAAAAAAAGGAATATACAAGCTTCAATCCATATTTCCCCACCGAATTACTAAATTGATGCCCTTGACAGAGATAAAAATAGCCTCATACGCCGTTGGACAGGTGTGTGGGTGCTAAGATGGAAGTGGTATGACATAAAACTCGTGTATTCTCATAATAGAGCATTGTGAAGGGTACCAGCATAGCTGGAGGGATTGCAAGTTTATTTGAAATAAATAAATAAAAAGTCTGTCATAAACCATGAGTAATAAGTTAATGTGATAATTATTTCCAAGGAAAAAGTTAAGTTGGTATAACTAGGGAGCGTTAAATGGCCCCATGTCTCAAAGGTGATATGTCCTTACAAACATCCATGACTTAGAATCAAACCTTGGCTCTGAGGCTATTGCAATCAGTTCTTCCACCATGCTAAGAAGGTCGCTTTTAAGAAAAGTGATTGGTTGTCGATTGGTATTCAGTGTTGTATGTGTGAATGATTATATAAAAATAACAGCTTTTTTATATATTCCGCATAGGTTTTAATAATTGGAAATAAAGTTGTATTTCTTTACGACAAAATGGACTTAAATATATGCTTAATAATATTTATTATCATTGCTATAAATGACAATCAAACAACAGACTAAATTTTTAGTAGTTACTTCCGCCGTGCGTGGTGTGATGTATCCTGTAGCGACACGACAAAATATAAGCTACAATGTTTTTCTACAAAAAGCACTGTACAACATATAACTTTGATTTTATGGCTTAAATCCTAATTTTAAAATGTCGTTGTTTATTTCACACTTGTGACACTTTTTTTCTTTAAAAGTAAATGTTGTTTTAATAACAAACTCTATTATATTATCAGTTTCTAAATTTGAAAATAGCTAACTTCTAGCTTATTGTTAACTAGCATATTAATGGAATTTAAAAAATCATGTTTAATATGAATTTGGCCAATAAATTAAATGTCGAGGAAAACCAATGAAATAAATACCAGCCATGGATAAAAAATTGCGTAAACTATTTATTAAAGTGTAACACTATTTATTACCTTACGCGAATCTGGGATACATCTGTAGTTTTTCACTAGTTCCATACTGCCATATACTAGGTGTTGTGACTTTATTTTTGATTAAGAAAACAATTTTTGTAGGGAGCTTTGTGTTTATTAAATGATTAAGGGTATTATATTAATAAAGCAGTGTGAATTAGAACTTAAAGTTTTGGTTAAATATTGCTTAAGAAGATTTTTTATAAGTTTTGGGCTTGACCTTCAATGGTTATGAGATCAGACAATTCTTTCTTCCCAAATATGTTTCTTCCCAGATATGCAACATCTGTCACTTATAAATTTGTAATGTAGTAGAGACATTTAGGTTGTATTTTTTTGAGGGGGAAGCAGATTTGAAAAATGAGCAACGCCTTCTCCGGGAATCGAATCACAGTCCTCTAGAATAATACGTGCCCAGCCTGCAGACCACCACAACACGAAGTTGGGAGAGATACCTTATATACTCCCTCTTTTAAAGGGCAACTGGTGTTTTTAGGAGACCCAATCGCCAAATCCTGGGCGTGGAGAATCATCATCCACCACCCTTTTAGTTTGTGTGCCAGAGACATTAGTTTTTTTTATTTATTTATTAAACCAGGAGATTTTGAAAAGTGAGCAACAGCTTCACCAGGAATTGAACCACGGACCTCTGGAATACGCTTCCAGTGTGCAGATCACCACACCAAGAAGGCGGGAGAAATACCCTATTACCTTATAATGCGAGCTATATTCATTTGCGTCCAGTGCAGTGTGTAACTAGAATGCGAGCTGAGCTCCTTGATGACCATCAAAAGATTAATATTTTGCTATTAAAAGCACAAGCATTTTATTTATTATATATTGCGGGCTTTAAAGGGCAACCAAAATTTTTTGGAAAATTTAAATTATTAAATTTTATGTTGCCATAAAGTAGATTAAATAATTCATTTTTTTAATCTTGTGCATTTTATTTCATCATTTCCCTCCTTTAGTTTCATCCATTGTTTTGGGGGGGGGACAAAACCTTAACCTGATTTATGAGGAAGAAGTATTTTTTTAAATACTTAACATACTTTTTATTGTGTGGTTTTTCCCTTCAAATAATCTGTATATTACCTTGAGCTCGTCAACATAGACCAGGCTTACCATAAGGAGGTTTTTAATGTATTTTCAAATTTCTAAAATACACTTCCCAGAAATAAAGCAGGAAAACTAATTTAAAACAAACATAAAGTTTTTCATTATAACCATGCATTAATCATATTAGTTTAAGAAAGTTATCCTAGAAATATATTTTTAAGGAAATAACGAAAGTTCAGCAATATTAATTTTTCTCTTATGAATTTAGGAGTGATTGTATATAAATGGAATTCTGGATTTTATTTTCTTGCATTAAGAATTGTTATAATTGTAAAATATAGACTATGATCAAAAATCTTTTTCATATTCGGTTTTAGATACATAAATCTGAAACTTGGACTGGAGTATTCGGACTGAAAGAAGACACCAAAAACACAATATTAAAGCAACTAATTAGACCTGTGTCTACTTTCTTCCTTGGATCCGTTACTGAATGTTTCTTTAATTATACAAGTGATATGTCAGAATAGAGAACAGTAGTAGCTTAGATGTTGCACAGACTGAAATCTTATTTATTCTCATTGTGCAAAAGTACAAAGATTTTGGAGCTGGTGACTGTCATTAAAAACATTTTATGGTCTCTTAACATTTATTAATACATGCTGCAATACCAAGTCTAATACTTGAATGGGTTACACAAAAAGCCATTGTCTACATAAAATATTTTGCTTTTCATAGTAACTTTTCATATGTTAGCAAAGAAAGATATAATGCAAGTGAGGATGCAATCACATCTACATTTTATAAATAAATCTGCAACTCTTATTTGATTATTCAGAATATTAAATAAAGATTCATTATATTTTTTATTAAGATTTCAGGTAAGAAGTTACTTTCACTTTTAAAAGAAAAAAAAAATCTGTGCACCACCTGAAAAATGCATTTAGCGAGCACTTTGCATTTTTGTTTCTCATGCACCCAAGAAGGAAACTTCAAATTACACTGTTTTAAAACGTTAAGGAAAATGCACATTTTTATTACTAGTAACAAAAATCGTATATATCATCATAACTCCAATTTTCTTAATTTTATTTTCTTTAAATTGTGGCAAATTGTCATTTAATCAATGTTTCCAATGTGAATATATTATGTTGAATGTTACATTAAATAAGTAAAAATTTACCTTATGAAATTTTCTTTTTTACACCATTTTGTTTATTCCACTGAAAAAAAAAATTCATAAATTTCTTTTCAAAATACAATGATATAAAATTAATATGTGTTAAAAAAATGCTACTTTTTGTGGTTATGAATATCTTGTCTGAAGTTTTATGTTGACAGGTAGGTTCTGGGGTTACAATAGATTAAGGAAGTGGAATCATGAAAATATTACTTTGAACATTAATAATCAGTTTTGTGTATTTACTGAGGCACTTTCTTCGAATGTAATTGCATTAAAATCTGAGTAATTATTTTTGATGATGTACTTAAGGAAATCTTACCAGAGCAAGGTCTTGTCCATTTGTAACAGTGATAAATAAGCATCTTTTTGTGAAAATATTTTCTAAACTCCATGTGGTAATTTTGAGTGGTATATTTTAACTTTTAGGATATAGTTCCTCCTGAGCTTTTATCAAGATTTATTGATGCTGGGGATTCCTCTTTCCTGACACGAGATATAAATAAACATCAGGAAGATGAGAAAGCTGGATTCTGTGCTTACAGTTTTCCTGCTGTGGCATATACTTTAGGGAGAAAATACTGGCCTTGTGTCAAAACTATGTATCAGAAACTTGCTCGAGATTTAAAGGTAAGTCATGGGTATTATTTCTGTTATAGAAATTATATTCTCTGTTTTTAAATCTCCTAAGTTTTAGAATAATAGCATGTTACTTTGTTAGATTTTGTGCAACAATGGTTTTAGTCTCTTCATGTCTTATAAGTTGCTTTGCATGGAGAACTATGAAGAAATTGATCATTGCTTTGAATTGGGAATTCTGAAAAAATTGAAAAGTAGTAAAAAGTGCACATAGTTGCTTAATCTAACTGAAAACAGAATTCACCCATACTGTGTGAAAATTAGGCTAGTGCTTTTGCACACATGATGTTACTGTATTTTTCCCTTCTGACTCCATACTGGTTTTCAATTTTTCATTCTTTTTGCATTAGCATTGTGTCAAAAGACATCTTAATTATATTCACGCTTTGAACTTTATAATTGCTATCTACTATGCTAAACTACAATTCTTTTTTAATCTATTGAACCTTTCATTAATGGCTACAAAGATACCTGGTATGAAACCTCTCCAGTTTCATTTTTCAACCTCCCAAGTATAAGCTTAGTTTTCTAACACACAGTGTGCTGATCTGCTGGGCAGTTCTTCACTCTTACTCGATTATCACACCATAATTTCAATATTGTTATATGTACAGTAATGGTGTGGCACATTTTTCTTTTCTTACTGGATACAGAAGAATCAGTATTTGTTAGATGATGTACTTTTTAAACATAACCAAAACTCTTAAATTCATCGATTTGTTCACAGAAAAGTGTAGATGAAATTATGCATTGAAGATGTCCTTACTTACCATTGTTAGTTATGACACTAATAAATGAATTGGAAATGATCTGCATGATCTGATACAAATTAATTGGAGGAGAGAACTGCCTAACTTTGATTTCATGTAAATCAAGGTAGTATAAGTAAGGGTATTACTGTAATGTTAATGTAAATTAAAAATATATTCATTAAGTGAGATTGTTGCATTCTTTCTGAAGATGTATTCCTATTTTTCTGCAGTTTGAAATTGAGAAAGAAGCCTTTATAATTTTTTAGAACTCGTTCATAATTTTATTTGTTACAGTGGACTGTTCGTGGAACAATAGCATCCTGTTTGCATGAGCTAGCCGAGATTCTTGGAAAAGATATAGTTGTTTCTGATTTATTGCCAATTTTCTTAGAATTGCTCAAAGATGTAGATGAAGTACGAATAAGAATTGTTTCGCACCTGCCAGATTTCTTAAAGGTAAAAATTTGCCACTTTATGTGAGTGATTACATTTTGAATAATTTGTAATAGATTTTCTTAACATTTAAGTTCTGAATTTTAATTTACTTAATTCATTAAAGGTTTTGTTACCCTCTGCAGCACCTTGATGCTTCTGAAAGAACACAGTTCCTTCCATTAATAGAAGAATTCACAAAAATGGACAATGATAAAAATTGGAGGTTTCGGTATGCTGTGGCAGAGTATGTATTTTTGTTTCACTCGAACTGCATATTAAAATTTTGTTTTGAAAGTCACTAATAAATGATATATAGTACCATATTTCTTTGTGTCATCAATAGATAATGTTTCAGAATTTTTAGGAAATCTTTCACCTGTTTAAAGTGTAATCCGTGTAACAAATTTAGAAGTTTGCAAGAAGTGTTATTTCTTTAGTAAGTGAAAGCAAAGAAATGTGTATGCACATTCATATAATTTTTATGGAATTTTTTCCCAAAACTCAAGAGATTTCTTATGATGCCAATTACACATTACTTTGTCATCATTTCATTTTATGATCATAATTATGCATTTAGTTTGCTGTGATCTCTTTTTGAGCAAGAATTTTTAAGTGTTAAGGCTTGCATAGAATCATTATATTTTTATTACCTTGTTAATTATTGCTTAGTTTTACAATTGTGGTAAAATTTACATAATTTTTTTTAATGAAGACCTGTTAAAATATACATTTTTAACACGTCATAGGAAATTTTGTTTACCATATTAATTAATGTAATCTGAAATAAGCCTAGCTACATCATCTGCTAGTGCAGTCTGTTATATGTACTACAGTGAACAGTAAAAGATTACAAATACTTGCAAAATAACTTTTGATCATTTAATAAATACATAACATACATATTTCGAAAATACGAAGATTATCAATGTTATTACTAAAGTAATGCATTTATATTTTGCTGATATAATGTGCATATAGCAATGACAAGTTTTAAATAAACTTATCCAGCCTGAACTAATGCATGTGCCATACTGTATTTCTTCCACTCCATATCATCACCATAGTGTATTTCTTCCACTCCATATCTCACTTCTTATAAAAATGTATTGACTGTTGTATTAGTAGTTTTAATTTTATTATTGTTACTTTTGTGTGACCATACGTGCATGTAATTTTTATTTATTTATTTATTTTTGCCTTTCTTTTAATAGTTAATTTTTGCAATAAAATAGTACATTTTGGATAAATTATGCATTTAAAGAAATAATTTAAGTGCTTTTTTAATATTAAATTTTACATAAGTATTGGGTACAAATTTGAACTAAATAGCATTGTGGACTTATACTGATTCATGAACATGACAGTAAATGTCTGCAGAATGAAACTTCTTGGTAATGAACTCAAAACATTTTCCTGACCATATCATTAACAGCATGCTATTATAATTCAGATCTTTAAAAGCATTATAACTAAATTAATTCTTTATTTTTAAATAAAGTTCTTAAAATCTTTATTGAATTGCAATTTGCAGGCAGCTGAAACCAACAACAGATTTGTATAGTGCATCAGATGTTCATGAATATTTTGTGCCTATAGCATTATTTTTAATCCAAGACAGAGTTTCAGAAGTTCGTCAAGCAGCTGTAGAATTGGTAAGTATCAGAGCTACTAAACTAATATGCTTTAAAAGAAATTGGGAAATATTATTATTCAGTGTTGTCTTCTAGAAAAGTTATGTTAACCAGGGTTCGTACGGTCCTTAAGAGTCCTTAAAAGTCCTTAGATTTTTTGGAATCGATTTTTGGTCCTTAAAAGTCCTTAATTTTGGCCAAAATCAGCAAAAGGTCCTTAATTTTAATCATCTGAAATTTCTGTCTGTTTTTACGACTGCCATTTTGAGTGTAAATTAACATTTTAGAGTAATATTTTTGGCGATTCACTGACAGATATGGTATATGGTTGGTTATCTTTTGAATGGGTTCATGGGTTGTTTCTATTTCTAATATAAATGATGGGATACTCGAGGTTCTGAGCAAGAAGTGAAACATAAGCATAACGAAATTCAATTTTTCTAATAAAGAGCCCTTAAACAACTTTTCGCTTTTGGTGATGGGAATTCTTTTATTAAACGGTTCTAAATTTGGCGACTTATCAAAATTTTGGTGATTTTAAAATCAGTTTCTATAGAAAATTTTTAATTACGAAATCTGAGAATTTTTCGGTGATTTTTTTAAAACATCATAACATTGATAAATTTTATTAAAATAATGGTAATATATTGACATTATATTAAATAAACATTAAAATAAACATTTTTATTTTCCACTGTCATATTATAAAGTTTCATTTTGGCAACTTAACAATATTTTGAATCTGAAAAATAAACAAGGCATAATGCTATATAAAGCACAATTTACAAAACAGCTCTTAGCAAAAGCAAAATTATCTATGTAATTAATTAAAAAGTCTTGTTTTTAATTTTTTCATAGTAAGATTTTTTCTCATGTATTAGAGTATTCGTCTCAGAGTATTTAGAATTCTCAGAATATGCATCAGTTTTCTCTATAAAATTAATTTTACACTTTTCCCCTCTCTTTTTTTTTCCCAAACTATTTCTGGCCTTTTGCTGTTACAGAATTGGTAGGGATAATTTTTCTTTAGGATTTTAGACACTGCAGCTTGGAAAGTTTAGAAGGATTTGAAGGCAAGATTTATAGAGCCACTATTCTAGAAGATTCGAGAAATATGTGACAAAATGAAAAATGTTTCCATGGTATCAACACGTAATGGATGTATTTTATAGAAAGTTTGCAATGAATTTCTTACTATTTGGAGAACATCTGGAAGAACAATGAAAACATAATATTTGAATGTTTTACTTCTGATACTAGAATCTTAACATGTTTGTCTTCCCTTTATTTTCTCCACTTTTCACTAAACACAAGCATGGAAAATATCAAAAATGTATCTAATCTTACCACATGGGCAGGCATAGTAGAAAGGGATTTTTTTATTAATAAAAAAATTGAAAATTTATAATTTAAAAGATTAATCTAATATGTGTCTTAATGCACCATACACATAGCTGGCACTAGGCATTTTCCCACTTTACGCAATCTCTGTGCATCCTAAATTCTATTGCCTAGTGCCTTTCTAAATGCTTCCAATGCCAGCTCTAAATTCTAAAAGTTTTGCCATTTCTAGATTTTGTTGTTTGGTGTGTCATTCAATTCTAAAAATTCTGCCACATCAGCTCTGTAACTGGCCTTTACCATATATATTTCATATTTCTTCTGAATATTCATATTACTAAAGAAATAAAACTAGCCGCTTTTTCTGTACATTCTAAATGCATTTAGTGTTTTTTAGAATTACAGAAATCCTTAATTAAATCCAAAAATTCTAAAATGAAAAGGAAACATGTTGAAGAAAGAAACTGAATACATAAAGAAAATTATTCTTCAAAGATATGTGCAGTTACTACTATGTCAATTACCCAATTATTTATGATTTCAGCCTTTACTATAATTTCTCATTTCTATTTCCTCATATGATAGAGTTACTGAGCCAGATTAAATTAAAATTAAATTGTATAAGCTTTGACCACTAGTCCACATTTTTAGTTTGAATTTGACTGTTCTTGTTTAATTATGTCACTGTGAGCTGTAATTGATTTTGTTAGCATCAGAACATGCTTTTATCTTTTAAGTTCTTTTTAAATAAGGGGCTTATTTAAACCTTTGTCTGATACTGTAGTTACTTTCAGACATAGCGATAATATGCTTCACGTCTGTCGGGGGTTTTGGACTATTTAACGTTTACCAGATCAAGTAAACTCTCATAAGTACATTGTGGAGAGGTTGACAAGTTAGGAGATAAAGCATGCAGAAACTAGCAAGAGCATTGGTTTGCATATTGAAACAAATTTCTAATTGTTAGGAAAGAAGCTTAAAGAGAAGGAAATCAATATAAACTAGCCAAAATGTCTGGAAAGGCTTCAAATTAAAATGATGGATAAGTATTTTGTTGAGTGTTGTTGTTACAAAACATAATGTTTTGTAGCTTTTAATGTGTAATTTATCCTAAGAATGTCATAAATTGCATGTATTTTAAACTGTGAAATTTTATTAGTTTTGATTTTAACAGGGCTTTTTAACAAATATTGTTAAAAAATAAAATTTAATAGAGACCATGTAAATCCATAATTACTAAGGTTTACTAAACTACCTAAATTTTATTTATAACCAACTGTTTACCCTTAAGAAACCTTTCACTAACACTCACTGTGGTCACAAGATAAACTAGAAAAATGTAAAAATTCAAGTAAAACTTTCTCTTTGCATCTAGTCAGACTTAAAATAATAAACAACTTATGACCTGTGGTGCTTTAATAGCTTATTGGAAACCTAAAGTATATTAACTGGGTTACAATCCCTGGAACTCTACATAAAGCTATGACACTAACTGCATCAAAAAGAGCCTGACTGACTTTGACACTTGCCAACCGTGCCTACATCAGGCCTTTCAGGTTTGTTCAAATCAGCAGGTCTCTCTCTAAAGTTTATTTTATTCTCAAACTTATTAATAATTGTTAATTAATTCATGTTTAGTAATAATGTATACTACTTAGGGATCGATTTTATTTTTAGGATGGTATTACAAAAGTGAAATTCTGGCATAGATATTTTAAATTGAATTTATTCAGTTTTCATTTGCTCATAGGTCCTTAATCTTTTTCATTAATGGTCCTTAAAAGTACTTAATTTCTGTGTGCAGAAATGTGTACGAACCCTGGTTAACGAAGGAAGAAGGAAGTGAAATTTTATTTGTATGTTGTGCATTTTTATAATATACACTGACAGGGAAAAAAAGTCGTAATACCAAGAAAGGTTTGTGTTAGGTAAGCAAAGTTTGGTAGGGTGTGTTTATACATCTAAAAGATATCTATGCAGATTTCCAACTAGGTGCCTAAGTGTGGAATTAGTAGCATCATTATGAAGAAGCAAATCAAGTTTGCTTTCAGTACATGCTTTAAAGTACATGATTGTTGTTTATCTTGAGACTTGGCCTAGTGAGTTGATGTTAGTCAAGAATGCCTTTAGCCCATTTATGCCGAAGATTAAAAAATTGGAATTTTTGCATGAAATTTCTATATGTTAGGTAAAAAAAAATGTAATAAACAATGATTTGAAGAATTTTTTTTTTTTTTTTTTTTTTGAAAATTTTTTATTTTAATTAGTTTACAAGTTATATGGTGTTCCAAAAATGGAACACTAGGCAAAACCATTGGTATAATGTTATAATGTATATAATCGTGGGTTTCCTCTAATAATGTGGTTATTCCGATTATTCGGTATGGTCATTGGAAGAGCACTTCACATGTAAAGCCACATTACATTTTCCACATCGAAAAAGTAGTGTTTTTATGACATTGAGAAAAGCGAGTTTGCTTTCCTTGCTTTACGATCTTACGAGTTATACCATCGTAGCGTGAATCAATGTTTTGTTTCTGAGAGGGTTTTCTTTCCTGCCAGGTTCTGCAGGATGACCACGAGCCTCTTTTGCATCATAAGATTTGTGTAATTGCCAAGCATTTTGTAAGGCCAATTCGAAACAGAACAACAATGGACTTGAATGCCATTTCTTTCCACGAATTGATGCTCTATATTTGTCAGTGTTTTCGTCCTCTATTCACACCTCCCATAAATTGGTTATATACTTTTATGTTTGGCTGCTGAACTTGGATTTTCTTTTTTTGTTCTTGTGAATAACGATTTACAAGACACAGTGGATTTACACCAGCACCAGATGATGCAACAGTCACAACACTGTTGTCATGCCATCTACAGACAATATTGCCTTTGCCATCAACTCGATAACCGAATGAGCCTCTTTCCATTTTCTTTAGGGCAACATCCGATTGCAATGGTGGTTTATCAATACGACCTTTTCTAACTGTGCCTGTTGCCTGATGACCCATTGAACCAAGTTTATCAAGCAGGGCAATACTTGTGAAAAAATTATAAAAAACAAAATGATATTGCCAGGGTGCTCCTCTGTTAGTGCATCCGTAAACCATAAGACAACAGAAGCACCAACACCATACTCCTCATATTTGTTTGCCAGATTTTTACCTTGATAGGGTTCGAACCAACAAATGTAACCTAGACGAGTTGCCGCACACCAAAACTTGTATCCAAAACGAATAGGCTTTCCTCTTATAAATTGTTTGCATCCGTGTCGACCAAAGTAAGGAACCATGGATTCATCAATGCTGAAATGTGTTTCATTCGGAACAAACTTCATGCACAGCTCATTTAGTTTGTTTATAAGAGGTCGTAATTTAGCAAACTTGTCAAGTGGGTCTAAATTTGCATTATCGGCAACTTGGAGATTTGAGAATATTGTTTCAAAGCGATCACATCTCATGACACTACTAACAAAGGCATTTTGTGAATCGGTTCTTTGTTCCCAGAACATGCGGCATCTAGGAACTGAGACATATCCACTCAGAAATGTAATCTCCAGGAAACATTTCAATTCAGAGTTTGTCAAGCTTAGGTTTACACCCTTAGTTGAAGCATGTAAATTTGAGTATGTTACAATTCCATGGCATCGTCATTTAGAAAAAGTTGAAAATGTTCTGTAGGAG